ACTTTGAGGTGTGTATGTAGAAGGCTCCTGGATGATGATGATGATGATGGGATTTAGAATGGGGGTGGAGGGGAAGGAAGAAGAGAAGGCATTGGGGTGGAAGAGAAGTCACCCCATGGTGCCATTTCACCCATAAAATTTTAGCTCTCTGGTTTAATTCAAGATTATTTTCTTTAAATCAACGCTGCACTGCATTATATATTGTCAAAATATAAAATATATTTCAAAATGACCAATAATTTGCTTGGAAACACAGAAAAAAAGCGTTTAGTTGAAGAGAGTCTCAAGCAAGATGTTACCTCCAGTGAAAACAGAGAGAGACTGACGCCTGTTTGCTGTGTTAAGAGGCTGGATGCCGCGCATTAAACTAGTCACTTTACCTTCAATTTTGTTCAATAATTGTTAAAATGACTAAAAAATTGAATATTAAACTTTTAAAATTATTGAATAGTATAAACTGCTTGATATTTACAAAAATAGTAAGGAATTTAAGCCCTAGAACCGATTAATGTATTGGCGGACTGATACTAAAGCTGGTTGCCCGGTCAGTGCAAGCGAAAACATGTTGAGGTCGGTTCGTAAGAAGTTCGTTAAGCGAATTTTTTTTCGTTAACCGAATTGAAGATCCTTATGGAAGGCAGTTCGTTAATCGAAATTACGTTAACCGAGGTGTTCGTTAAACGAGGGGTCACTGTATTAATAATAATTAACGGTTTATTGAAAGAGCTTGGCAGCCAGAGACTGAAAATATACAGTTACATATTTGGGAAATGGGTTTCGAATTACAAATAATATACAAGTAACATAAGTGATACAAATAAGATATATAATAACTAGATGGGGAAAAGCTCAAACTACAGTGCATTTCAATATAGTGACAGTGCAAGGAGTAGTGTTTACTGGAAGTGAATACACTGGTTTATTACAGGTTATTGATAATTTTTACAATGGTTCGGACTGGGCTGTTCTTATAGCGATCAGTTCGTGCACGTATGGGCTGGATGCGGTTGTGGTGTCGAACAGCAATTCTCGGGCTAGGGATCTCAGGTGGTAGTAGGAGCCGGTGTCGAGGATGGTGTAGAAGCTTCTTACCAAATTTGCAGATGAGGTCGTGGTGATGGTCAGCGAGAGTCGAAAAGGGTCAGTGTTGAGCGCTTCTTGATATGTGGAGTAGGAAGGAGGAGAATAATCTTGCATGCCCTCTTTGCACTTTTTTTGGATGTACTGCTTGTGTGGCATTTAGAGGAAGAACAGGTGGGGAGGCAGGTGAGCGGGAAGTATGAATGTTGTGTAAACACTGAGAGCTGCAGGAACTCCGAGGGACTTGAGCGGAGAAGGTGGAGACGGAACTGGAGGATTTGACAACCACTGACGTGTGGTTCCAATTTAGTTTGTTGTCTATGGTGACGCTGAGGAGCTGTGAATCTACAACCTGGAGTGTGTTCGGACCTAGAGTAATGGGAAGGAGGTGGGACAATGTCGGAGGAGAGGTTGATGTGCATAACCATGGTCTTGGTATGGTTGATGGTGACATGGTTGTTGGTGCCCAGTTTGGAGACTGTTCAATAACCTGATGCTGCAGAAGGGGATAAGAATTGTTGGCGCTGATCCCAATAGTGAGTCATCGACATATTTCCAGGAGCAGGGGTTTCTTAATTTTATGATGGTATGCACACAATTAATATAAGAGAAATATCAAATATAGGTTTTTAACACTTACATTAGTAGAAAAGATGGCTGGGCACACGGGATGGGGGTTGGTTCCAGGCAGAGGGCAGATTATGGCCCTCACTTGTATCATTAGTATCACTATTCACCACAGAGGCCAGAACTCTTTGCCAAAACCCCTCAAAGTCCATATAAGTCCATATCTTACTATAATTATCACTATCACTGATCATGTTGTGGGTGGGCGGGTGAAAAACTCTGTAATGTTTGGATGATCAGTGAATCTTGTGCGCACCCTGCTCATTCGCTTACACAACATGGCGGATGGCGGAGGTTTGGATTCAAAATGGCACGGAAGGCCAGCCTTCAGAAAGGGTACGCACGCTGAAATGGACATTCGGGCTGGGCAAGGTACGCGAAACGTGAAACGCGAATGTGTGACGATAAAGCGAGGTTGACTGTATACAGTGACTTTGTTACCCAACCCTCGTTCCAGAAGGTAGTTCTTAACCGAAAAGTTAGTAACCAAACCATTGTTTCAATGGGTATTGGTTGACAGCCACTGAATTGCCTACCAACAAAATGGTAGAAAAAGTTCACTTATGGAGGTGTATGTAGAAGGCTCCTGGATGATGATGATGGGAATTACAATAGGGTGGAGGAGAAGGAAGAAGAGAAGGCATTGGGGTGGGAAGAGAAGTCACCCATGGCACCATTTCACCCATAAATTTAGTTCTCTTGGTGTATTTCAAGATTATTTTTTAAATCAACACTGCACTGCATTATATTTTCAATATGTAAAATATATTTCAAAATGACCAATAATTTGCTTGGAAACACAGGAAAAAAGCATTTAGTTGAAGAGTCTCAAGCAAGATGTTACCTCCAGTGAAAACAGAGAGACGAACGCCTGTTTGCTGTGTAAAGAGGCTGGATGCCAGACAAATTAGTAACTGCATTTTTCAATTATGTTCAATAATTGTTGAAATGACAAAAAATAATATTAAATTTAAAATATTGAATAGTATAAATTGATATTTACTAAAATAGTAAGGAATTTAAGCCTAGAAATCGATAATGTATTGGCGGACTGATACTAAGCATGATGACTGCCAGTGCAAGCGAAAACATGTTGAGGTAAGCCAGAAGAAATGTATACCGAATTTTGTTCGTTAACCGATTTTAAGAATCTTATGAAGTTCGTTAACCGGGACCACTGTACTCCTTCACTTTCAATAGCCCACGCATTTCACTCAACTAGCATCACTAGGACAATGGGCAGTCTTTGTCTATTTGGCCAAGAGATAGCCAAAGACTTGAGAGTACAGCACTAGATGCTGCGCAAGACTCATTTTGCTGCAGGAAAAGGCTTGCAAGCTTGATCATAGCCACCATCTGCTTACCGAAACGTCGAAATCGCGAATGGCAAGGGTCTACTGTACAGACATTGTTGAAATACCATACTGCAATTATCAATGGACAGTATAGGTAGTAAAAAGTGTTTAGGTGGTGAAAAGAAAAAAATTGCAGGCCTGCCAATATCCCCGATTCAGACCGACCGTGAGTAGGGGCTTTTGGGAAGTGGTGACTAGGACTGTGAGAGTGTTAAGCTATTCGGGATGAATATAGTGAAATTTATAAATAGGAGTTTGTAATAGCAGAAATTCAGTTTCAGGGTCACTAACACTGTTCATTGCTTCAGTTATTGTGATGGTGATCACTGCCAAGACTTGTTGACGAGTCTTGTATCTAGCTACAAAATACGTCGAGGATTATACCCAGTATTTCATGCTAGAGTCAAATTATACATGAGGTGTAATGAAAAATCAGGCTTAAAAAAGGTGCCAAATTATACAAGATAGGTTTGTACATGAGTATATACAGTATGGTATATGTTTACTATCCACAATGCATTATCATCCATCCATAACATCTTGAGAGTAACTGAGTTAGAACACCATATGGCCATCAGGGCTTACTGTATCTATTAAAACAAGGACAATTTTTTTTTGTTTATACCTGTATTGTATTTTTCAGTTTAGTTTATATATCTCTATTTTTTGGGGGGGTTATTTTGAGTTTTGAATTTTGACAATGACTCAGTGGTCATGTGGTCTATCTTTGAGTTTGAATTTGTACAGGTCAAAAATGGATACAGTAGTCTTGGTTTCGGGTCAATTAAAACCTGTGAGGTCTCAGTAAAACAGAAACAGTAAAACGAAATAAAAGAAATATGGGATTAATTGAAAGAGAGACTACAACTTCCAGACTACCCTTTTTCCGACACAATATGTAATGTAGTAAAAATAACATCTTAATTTTATGATGGTATGCACAATACACATTTAGAAATATCAATAATAGGTTTTAACATACGTAGAAGAGATGAAGGGTACACGGGGATGGGGAGTTGGTTTCAAGGCAGAGGAGATTATTGGCCCACCTGTATCACTATTCACACAGAGGCGTAGGTCTTTGTCAACCAAAGTCCATATCCTCATTATCACTGACTGGGCATGTGGTGGGTGGCGGAGAAGAACTGATAATGTTTTGTTGATCAAGTAATTAGCGGCACCCTGCTCGCCGCTTCATGCAAAATGATATGTACCGCTGGAACTGTAATTGCCGGCCGCAGGTGCCGCAAAAATGACCAACCGCGAAAGGAAATCGCGTAAATCAAGACTTTATACAAGTCGTCAAATAAATGGTCATGGTCTATCTTTGAATTAGTACTTGTTAGTGACTGATGAATACATAATTTTTATTTTAACAAAATTTGCTTAGAGGCTCTGTTTTGGGCCAATGACCTGTGCCTGGGTTTTCACAAAAAAAAAAAAAAAAAAAAATAAAATAAAAGACTTGAATTTTGATGGTAGGGAGGGAGGGGAAGAAGGAAACCTTCCAAATAATGGACAGGGCTTGCATATATTAGTCCAATATTGACAGGATTTACTGCATCATGAAAATAATTCCAATTACTGTACACATAATTCTAATTACAACTCTACAGTACAGAGGTCCCCGACTTATTAACGAGGTTAAACTTTAAATTTACAGCAATTTATTTACCTAATGACTTATTTTTTACTTTAATTTACTGTATTTTGGCATTCTATTTCTTCTTTTTTCTTAAATTAAGTGATTTTAGATGCATATAAGGACTTAAGCAATGATATAGTAGGATTTTAAACATTATCGGTAAGTACAGTATGCACATAACATGTACTGTACTTTATTATTTATGTTATTTATTTTTACGATTAGCCCACCCGTGCACAGGAATGGAACCCGTTGACCCGAACCCCGTATCATATGAACTATCAAAATCTCACCTGATATCCTCGATGTTGATTTTTCTCAACAAGTGATCCAAGTACAACTTTGTTTATACCCGAGGATAATAGTCTTGATGATTAGTTTTATGATCCCCATGTTGTCGTGAGCCCCATATTTTCTGAGGAATAACTCTACGGACTATCCCCCAAACAGTGGCAAAAACTTCATTCCAGTCCACTGGGGTATCATCCATTACCGGGTTGCTGACATTCTGAAAGAAATTATATAACTAAGAAGGACTACAAGTAATGATACTGTAGTAGGTTAAAGGACTAAAAGATTCAAGACAAGGTTTTCAAATAAAATTTGTCAACAATTGGACAACCACAACATGAAAAGAAATACTATAAATTATATAAAATTGAGAAAAAAATATTACACAATGTAAATTAAAGTGGACTGTAAAACCTAGTGGTCGAGTAAAGCATATCTTGTAGAAACACCAGTTGCATTGATAAGAGTATAACTTCTACCCTATGGTGAAATGAGTTAACATATTCAACACATTATCCAACATAGATCAATATATGGACGTATGAAAAGTAAGTGCGTACATGTTAAAACATATTGTCATTTCTCTCCATATGAATATGAATGAAACACTTATTTTCTGTTCAATAGGTTTTACATAATACTTATGAATGTAAAACAAAAATTCTACTCACCAATGGTGGCAAAGTCTAAAATATAAGCCAATGAATATTGCGTGAGTTTTTACTCAGATGATGAAGTCATCAGGTTCAACTCTGGCTGAAGTGAGCTTACAAAGCTGTTGCTGAAACTGTTACTGAACCTGAAGTTGATGTTGAAGCTGCTTATGATGCTGAATTTGATGGTGTAGCTGAAGTTGATGGTTTAGCCTTCGATTAATAAAGCTGTCAAAAGAACCTTGCACAGTTGCTTTCTTTTCTCATTATACTATTTTATATAGAGGTCATTTGCATTTATTTAAATTTTAAGGCTTTATTCTGTTAATGGATCTACTTCAGAAATTATGTCCATTGCTTGCTCCATATAATATCCACAGACCTCTCAACCTTTTCATATCGTTTTAACACATCTAGTTTCTTGGAAACAAAACGTTTCGAGTCTGTGGGAGTCGGTTACTGCCCGGTTCCTGGTAAGCTCAGCCCAGAAACAAAGCTCTAACCAGGCTCAAATGCCCATGAAAATGGCCCATATGTATGTGTGGTGTTAGGTGGGTGAGAGTAGAGGTGTGGGTGGTGTTAGGAGGTTGTGTGGGGGCAGAGGTTGTGTGGGCAGATAGTGTGTGGGGGAGAAGCTGGCGTGTGGGTGGTGTTACGTGTGTGGGTGGTGGTGTTAGGGGTGTGGGTGGTGGTGTTGGGGTGTGGGTGGTGGTGGTGTTAGGGGGTGTGGGTGGTGGTGTTAGGGTGTGGGTGGTGGTGGTGTTAGGAGTATTGTTAGGTGGTGTGTGCAGGGTGTGTGGGGGTGGTGTGGGGTGTGAGGCGGTGGTGTTAGGGTGTGTGGGTGGTGTTTAGGAGTGTGTGGCGTGGTGGTGTTGGGGGTGTGTGGCGGTGGTGTTAGGGGTGTGGGTGGTGGTGTTAGGGTGTGAGGTGAGTGGTGTGCAGGGTGTGTTGGAGTGGTGTTAAGGGTGTGTGCATGTAGGTGTGTGGCGGTGTAGGGGTGTGTAGGTTGCTGGTGTGTGTGTGGGTGGGGTTGGGGTGTGTGGGTGGTGGGGGTGTGTGGGTGGTGGTGTTGGGGTGTGTGGGTGTGGGGTGTTAGGGGTGTGGGTGGTGGTGTTGGGGTGTGTGGGTGTGATTTGGGGGTGTGTGGGTGGTGGTGTTAGGGGGGGTGTGTGGGTGGTGGTGTTAGGGGTGTGTGGGTGGTGGTGTTAGGGGTGTGTGGAGTGGTGGTGTTAGGGTGTGTGGTGGTGTTAGGGTGTGGGTGGTGTTAGGGGTGTGGTGGTGGTGTGGGGTGTGTGTGGTGGTGGGGTGTGTGGGTGGTGGGCTAGGGGTGTGTGGTGGTGGTGTTGGGGTGTGTGGGTGGTGGTGTTGGGTGTTTGTGGGTGGTGGTGTTAGGTGTGTGTGTGGTGGTGGTGTTTGGGTGTGTGGGTGGTGTGCGTGGTGTGGGTGGTGTTGGGTGTGTGGGTGGTGGAGGGGTGTGGGTGGTGTGGGGTGCGTGTGGTGGTGGCGTGTTAGGTGGGCGGTTGGGGTGGTGTGGTAGGTGGCGATTTTGGGTGCGTGTGGGTGGGTGGCGGTGTTGGGGTGCGTGTGGGTGGGTGGCGGTGTTAGGGGTGCGTGTGGGTGGGTGGCGGTGTTGGGGTGCGTGTGGGTGGTGCGGTGTTGGGGTGCGTGTGGGTGGGTGGCGGTGTTGGGGTGTGTGGTGGGTGGCGGTGTGGGGTGCGTGTGGGTGGTGCGGTGTTGGGTGGTCGTGGGTGGGGTGGCGGTGTGGTGCGTGTGGGTGGGTAGCAGTGTGGGGTGCGTGTGGTGGTGTGGCGGTGTTGGGGAGTCTGTGTGGGTGGGTGGCGGTGTTAGGTGCGTGTGGGTGGGTGGCGGTGTTGGAGGTGCGTGTGGGTGGGTGGCGGTGTGGGTGCGTGTGGGTGGGTGGCGGTGTTGGGTGCGTGTGGGTGGGTGGTGTGGGTGTGCGTGTGGGTGGGTGGCAGTGTGGGTGCGTGTGTGGGTGGGTGGCGGTGTGGGTGCGTGTGGGTGGGTGGCGGTGTTGGGGTGCGTGGGGTGGGTGGTGGCGTGTGGGTGCGTGTGGGTGGGTGGCGGTGTTGGGTGCGTGTGGGTGGGGGGCGGTGTTGGGTGCGTGTGGGTGGTGGCGGTGTTAGGTGCGTGTGGGTGGGTGGCGGTGTTAGGTGCGTGTGGGTGGGTGGCGGTGTTGGGTGCGTGTGGGTGGGTGGCGGTGTTAGGTGCGTGTGGGTGGGTGGCGGTGTTGGGTGCGTGTGGGTGGGTGGCGGTGTGTTGGGTGCGTGTGGGTGGGTGGCGGTGTTGGGTGCGTGTGGGTGGTGTGGTGTTGGGTGCGTGTGGGTGGGTGGTGTTGGGGGCGTGTGGGTGGGTGGCGGTGTTGTTAGGGGCGTGTGGGTGGGTGGCGGTGTTGGGGCGTGTGGGTGGGTGTGTTAGGGGCGTGTGGGTGGTGGCGGTGTTGGGGGCGTGTGGGTGGGTGGCGGTGTTAGGGGCGTGTGGGTGGGTGGCGGTGTTAGGGGCGTGTGGGTGGGTGGCGGTGTTAGGGGCGTGTGGGTGGGTGGCGGTGTTGGGGCGTGTGGGTGGGTGGCAGTGTTAGGGGCGTGTGGGTGGGTGTGTTGGGGGCGTGTGGGTGGTGGCGGTGTTGGGGCGTGTGGGTGGGTGGCGGTGTTGGGGGCGTGTGGGTGGGTGTGTTGGGGCGTGTGGGTGGTGGCGGTGTTGGGGCGTTTGGGTGGTGGCGGTGTTGAGGGACGTGTGGGTGGTGGCGGTGTTCAGGGGTGTGGGTGGTGGCAGTGTGCAGGGTGTGGTGGCGGTGTTACAGGGTGTGGGTGGTGGCAGTGTTGGGGCGTGTGGGTGGTGGCGGTGTTGGGGGCGTGTGGGTGGTGGCGGTGTTGGGGCGTGTGGGTGGTGGCGGTGTTAGGGGCGTGTGGGTGGTGGCGGGGTTAGGGGCGTGTGGGTGGTGGCGGTGTTGGGGCGTGGTGGTGGCGGTGTGGGGCGTGTGGGTGGTGGCAGTGTTGGGGGCGTGTGGGTGAGGTGCGGTGTTGGGGGCATGTGGGTGGTGGCGGTGTTAGGGGCGTGGTGGTGGCGGTGTTAGGGGCGTGTGGGTGGTGGCGGTGTTGGGGCGTGGGTGGTGGCGGTGTTGGGGGCGTGTGGGTGGTGGTGTTGGGGTCGTGTGGGTGGTGTTGCAGGGGTGTGGTTGTTGCAGGGTGTGGGTGGTGGCGGTGTTGGGGCCGTGTGGGTGCAGGGGTTGGTGGTGGGGCGGTGTTGCAGGGGTGTGGGTGTGGTGTTGCAGGGGTGTGGGTGGTGGCGGTGTTGCAGGGGGTGTGGGTGGTGTTGCAGGGTGTGGGTGGTGGTGCAGGGGGTGTGGGTGGTGGTTGCAGGGTGTGGGTGGTGGGGTTGCTGCAGGTTGGTGGTTGTGGTGGTTAGCTGCAGGTTGGTGGTTGGTTGGTTGGCTGCGTTGGTTGAGTTGGTTGGCTGCAGTTGGTGGTTGGGTTGGTTGCTGCAGGGTTGGTGGTGGGTTGGCAGGTTGCGGTTGTTGTAGTTGGTTGGTGCAGTGATGGTAGTTGTTGGTTGCTGGGGTGTGTGTGGGTTGGTTGAGTTGTTGGGGTTGTTTGGGTGAAGTTGGTTGTTGGGGGTTGGTGTAGTTGGTTGGTGTTGGGGTGTGGTGAGGTGGTGGTGTTGGGGTTGTGTGGTTGGTGGTTGTTGGGGTGTGTAGGTTGGTGGTGTTGGGGGTGTGTGGTTGGTGGTGTTGGGGGTTAGTTGGTGGTGTTAGGGGTTGGTTGGTGGTGTTAGAGTGTGTGGGTGGTGGTGTTGGGGGTTGGTGTGGGGTGGTTGTTGGGGGTTGTGTGGGTGGTGGTGTTGGGGAGTGTGTGGGTGGTGGGTGTTGGGTGTTTGTGTTGGTGGTGTTGGGTGTTGTTGGTTGGTGTTGGGTGTTGGTGGTTGGTTGGGTGTGTTGGGTTGTGTGTGGGTTGGTGGTTGTGTTGGGTTGTGTGGGTGGTGTGTGGTTGGTGTTGCGTGGTGTGTGGTGCTGTTGCAGGGGGTGTGGGTGGTGTTAGGTGGGCGTGTGGGTGGGTGGCGGTGTTGGGGCGTGTGGGTGGTGGAGGTGTTGGGGCGTGTGGTGGTGGCGGTGTTGGGGCGTGTGGGTGGTGGCGGTGTTGGGGCGTGTGGGTGGTGGAGGTGTTAGGGGCGTGTGGGTGGTGGCGGTGTGGGGGCGTGTGGGTGGTGGCGGTGTGGGGCGTGTGGGTGGTGGCGGTGTTGGGGCGTGTGGTGGTGGCGGTGTTGGGGGCGTGTGGGTGGTGGTGTGGGGCGTGTTGTGGTGGCGGTGTTGGGGCGTGGGTGGTGGCAGTGTTGCAGGGGTGTGGGTGGTGGTGGCGGTGTTAGGGGCGTGTGGGTGGTGGCGGTGTTAGGGGCGTGTGGGTGGTGGCGGTGTTGGGGGCGTGTGGGTGGTGGCGGTGTTGGGGCTGGTGGGTGGTGGCGGTGTTAGGGGCGTGTGGGTGTTAGCAGGGGTGTGTGGGTGGTGTGCAGGTGTGGGTGGTGTGCAGGTGTGGGTGGTGCTGCAGGGGGTGTG